ATTTTGGGTTTTAACAAACTTTCCTTTTGGCTTCTTCATTTTTAAAGTATCAGCTGAATGCAAAGTGACCCACGTTTGATTTTTGAGCATGTGTACAATTGAACAATTTACTCCTGGAGCCATATTTAGATCCCAGTATCTCTGCAACCGAACCATACAGAGCCTTAAAAATGAAGAAGCCAAAAGGAAAGTTTGTTAAAACCCAAAATCTAAAAGTGCATTAAGAGATCTTTAACACTTCTTGAGTTACATGCATGCAAACTTTGGAGAAAAAACTTGAAAAGTGCTTTTTCCCCATTTTCGATTGGTCACCATTGGCGTTTAATGCAACACAGATTGCTGAAGTCAACAGATTTTACTAATAGAGCTACCAATCTCTGTGTGAAAATAACAGCATGATGCTGCCATCTTTCTGAACTCATTTTTAACCCTCCGTAATCTGGCTCCGAATCTCTGAATACCTACAAAATAGTGCATTTCTCTGTAAATATTCATCCATGACGTTTCATATTTGGGCTTCCATCACTGTACATGTTTATCTTTCTTCAGAAAAAATATTAGCTAAATCAAAAATGTAAGTTGGGGAAGTTTCTGAAATTCGGTTGATTTGACACGGAACGACCCTTTGATAAATTTCTCATAAAACAAGACCTTTTGCCGCTCAAGTAAAAGTATCTTGATTTAAGAATCTTTAGACATTTGAACTGGAAAGCTAAAATACTGAGTAACAACATTTATTTATTTTTTTTGCTGTGTGATAAGTAGATTTTTTTTGTGTGAAATGAATGAAAAAAGTAATTGAGATCTGTTGGACGTTGTATTTTCAGACTAATGCGAGATTTTTCTTACATTTGGTCATATATTTACCTTCACACACATGCAGAAACCCTGTTTAGGAGTTAATTGCATTATGAAAATAACTTCACGATGCAAAAAACGGTCTTAATGTTCCTGGTAATGTAGTTAAACTTATACATTATCTTGAGGTGTTTCAGTAAAACGAGATCATTTATGACAATCACTTTTAATCTGGAGATGATTTATTTCTGCGTGTTCTGTCATGAATCCGCAACACGCGTCTGCATGTGTTTGTTACTCAGGTCATGGGTTAGAGAACGCAAGGGTTCGGGTGAGGAGCGGAGAGCCGCTGACGGAGGGGGCGGAGCTAAACAGCACCCTGGCGCTGGGGGCGGAGCTTCAGGAAGTGGAGAATCAGGTGTTTGATCCTGAGAAAGCCGTGAGAGCGAAATTACAGAGTTCAAGCCTCACAAAGAACCACATCAGCAGCAAAGCAGCAGAGGGTGAGACGCCACGACGTTAATCAGTCATAGTTAATAATTAAAAATTAATAATGAGTCATTTTGTGCTATCTTTGCCTTGTTTTCTACAGGCCTGAATTTCCCTCGCTCTCAGCTCCTGTACCGGGATTTAGTCAGCGTCAGCCAATCACGCGAGCAGCTCATCAGCCAGGCCCTGAAGGATAGGCCAGCACTGGCCCCGCCCACCGCCACACTGACCAATAAGGTCAGAGTTGCGTCTGTGTCATGTTAACAGCAGTGGTTTACGTTATTAATATGATGTTTCCAGCTGCTGCAGTGTTTAATGGAGCAATAAGCCACGAGATGGATTTTAAAATCTGAGAAATAACTCAAAGCAAACTAAAGATGCCAATTTTTAATTACATTTATGATTATTAATAGTTAGAATAAGAAATTCTTGCACACACACACCATGGTACTGATTGCTTCTTTACCGTAGTGTTTACACAATACTGTGGAATACTTTTATTTATTCATTCATATATATATATTTTTTACATTTCTCCATACACACACACACACACACATTTATATAGTATATATTTTAGCTATTAATTTATTTATCTCTCTCTCTCTCTCTCTCTCTCTATATATATATATATATATATATATATATATTCATATAATATATTGTATATTTTTATTTCTCCCTCTCTCTATATATACAGTAAAAACTAATATATATATACACTCTGCTGTTCAAAAGTTTGGGATCAGTGAGAGTTGTAATGTGTTTTAAAGAAGTCTCTTCTGCTCATCAAGGCTGCATTTATTTGACCAAAAAAACAGTAATATTGTGAAATATTACTGCAATTTAAAATAATGGTTTTCTATTTTAATGTATTTCAAAATATAATTTATTCCTGTGATCAAAGCTGAATTTTCAGCATCTTTTCTCCAGTCTTCATTTTTGTGGAACCTGTGATACTTCTTTCAGAAACGGAATCAGAATTAGCTTTATTCGCAAAGCGCCAAGGAATTCGTTGTGGTTTTTTAGGAGCTCTTGGTGCAAACATACATACATGGCATGAGAACAGAAAGCTCCTCGACCTCCCGTCTGTAAGCAGACTCGTCAATATCCTGAATGAGACCGATGACTGTAGTGTCGTCTGCGAACTCCAGGAGCTTGACAGAGGGGTCAGTAGAGGTGCAATCATTCGTGTAGAGGGAGAAGAGCAGCGGGGAGAGGACGTAGCCCTGGGGGGCGCCAGTGCTGATCGTGAGAGTCTTGGATGTGAGTTTGCCCAGCCTCACTAGCTGCTGCCTGTCTGTGAGAAAGCTGGTGATGCACTGACAGATGGAGCTAGGGACAGAGAGCTGTGAGAGTTTGGTCTGGAGGAGCGTTGGGATGATGGTGTTGAAGCGGAGCTGAAGTCCACAAACAGGATCCTCACGCAAGTCCCTGGTTAGTCCAGAGGCTGGAGAGACTCCGTCTGGCCCTTCTTCAGGTTCTTTGATGAGTAATAAGTTAAAAAGAACAGTGTTTACTTAAAAATAGAAATCTTTTGGAACAATGTAAGTCTTTATTATTACTTTTTATCAATTTAACACATCTTTGCTGAATAAAAGTATTAATTTCTTT